CCTGCTGCCCCAGTACACTAAATTGACAGCGGTTGCGGCGAAAGCCATCTTCTCAGTCGATGTACCACTGATCCTGGTGCTCCATCTTTCGGAAGCCTTTTGAACATAGCGTCGTTTGCACTAACTCCAGCACGTCACGTGGTTTACCATTGCATCCGTGATCGGGCCACCGTCGACCAAGCTGCAATGTCTTGTGATGACTTCGTCATGTGACGTCCTGCCACGCGACGTTACAGTGAATTCATAATGACATCATAACGATGTCACAAATATGGGTGATTTCCACGTTTTCATGATGACGTCATAACGTGATGCTTTTATGCATTACTCATCCTCGACGCCGATGGGGCGTGAGACGCCGACGGGCAAATATCGCGTTTGATGGGGCATATGATTGATTGATTGATTGATTGATTGATATGTGGGGTTCTACGTCCCAAAACCACCATACGATTATGAGAGACGCCGTAGTGGAGGGCCCCGGAAATTTCGACCACCTGGGGTTCTTGAACGTGGATGGGGCATATGAGGCTGCCGGTTTGGTAAATTCGGAGATAATTTTCGTCAACCGCCGTGGTTAACCCGGTGACAAGCACCAGGGCCACACATTTACGCTGCGTGGTTTAACCACCTGCACGTATAGTGCCTGGGCGCTCCCTGAAGCGATCAATAGAGATATGAAAGGCACGAGGAGTTCAGCATAAGAACACATGAAAGATAGTCGCAGCGGAGAGAAGGATTCACCCATGCGCTGGGCCTTCAGAAGTGAAGGGACCTTTGCTCTCGCCTTCTATGCCGCTTTTCCCGCCCTTTTTCTTTCCGCAAACACTCCATCGCGTGCAAGATAGCCAACTTAGCGCATGAGTGAATCCTCCTCTCCACTGCGACAGGTGTCCGATCTGCCGGACCCGACCCACTAAGCATTGCGTCAAACTTGGACCCCAAACCTTCAGCGCATCCCTCCTTGCGTAAGAGCAGTCACAGTGAGATTCGAGTGTCGTGAAATCGGCGAGCGTCGAAGATTGATATGGTGAGCTGTCATGGCCGCGCTCTGACAGGTGGGAAGCAAACAGCTCTTCGCATGCAACTTTTCGCACGCAGCATGGAGGTCTCTTGGCTACTATTAGCACGAAAAATGTGCTGAAAGCCAGCCCTTTAAACAATGACAGGAATGACGTGATTGAGTAAAGCACGGGGGTCATCATTGTACGTTCTACCAACCATCTTTCAGTGTTAAACGTCACGACTTACGAATCTTGGTTGTTGTCATTGACACCCCCCCTCCTTGAAAAATTAAATTGCTGCACAAACTTGAAGGAAAACAAGGGAGACAGGAAAGAGCGCTTTCCTGTCTCCCTTGTTTTCCTTCAAGTTTGTGCAGCAAGTCAATTTTTCAAGTATGAACCAACTAGTCTGCAAAAAAAAGTATTGCCCCCCTCCTATTTCTCTCTAATATGATTGAGGGTGGGGGACGCACCCTTTGAACGACTAGGTGGGGCGGTTACCCTATACGGTGCATGCGATCTCCACAACACACGCTCCCAAAGGCGGCTGCAGGGAACCGGTGAAGTCAACGGGCGAACGGCGGCCGCGTGCAGCCTTGCCAGGACGCCGAGAGATGGCGACACTGCGTGGCATCATCGATCGGCCGCCAGGCTTTCGCTCTCGTTCCGCCGGGTTCCACTTTTCGCAAAATGACGGCGCCAGTCCGCCGATGCATCCTCTTATCTCGTCGCGAATCTCTCATATCTTAATTGGGACCGCAACGGCGATATTTACGCCTCTCCGTTGCCTCAAAAAGGCAGCGCGCTTCCGTTGCCGCCGCTTTTTCTATATCCGGGTGAATAAACGTACACAAACGCTCGCCTCGTAAAATGAGTCGCAGGCAAACCGTTAGTGACTCGTGCGTCTTCATAGGCTCTCTTCTCACCTCCTGTTGAGGAAGCAACCAGTTGTTATGCAGTAACCAGCAACTTACGAGTTCTTAAAGGAGCGCCCTGTGGAGCGCCCTATTAAAATAAGCAACTAGTTGTTGTGTTGTTGATTTGCCCATTTAGCCTGATAGGATGGTGCAGTAAACAGCGCTGAGCGCAAACTCCAACGCAAACCGAACCACGCGTCGCAATTTTTGTGGCCGTTGCGTGATTATTCATGCAATGTGTACCAACAGTGTGCGCTCAAAAAGTACCTCTCATTTTAGAAACATTGTAGCGACGCTTCCGAAGCATATTGTCAGACATATTCAGACAACGTCTACTTTGACCAATATAGTTTGTCTATATATAGTGGGACGTGTGGGACATGGTGGACATAGCGGAACATGTGTGACATATGGCCATAGTGAGACATGTGGGGCATTGGACCACAGTGGGACATAGCGAGATATGTGGGCCATGCTAGGACATGGGGGACGTAGGGTCATAGTGCGATATGTTGGGCGTATGGCCAACATAGTGTGCCCTCATAGTTGCTCCACTATAGCCCTTCGGTCTATAGAGGCAGCGATAATAATCAGACTAGTTGGTCTACTCTGATCATTAGAGCTATCTATTCGCAGGCAACCACTCTGACCAACTAACAGAGTGCACGCCTGCCAAATAGTTAGCAAGAGTAGTAGATAGTGATGCTTATCCTGTGCAAACTTGTTTAACAGCTACGCCAACGTAGCAGCAATGTAGCATTAATGCAGCATTAATTTCAGAGTGTTATATTCGTTCAATGAACATTGAGCACATCGCATTAACACACACAAGAAGGTTTAGAGCTTGAGTTCCGTTATGCTCGATGGCAATAGCACGATGGCTAGTGACCTCATCACGCAACCATAATTCGCCTATTTCACGAACTTGGGTCGTACCGTCAAAGGGCCGGGCTTGTTGTACCGAGAATACGGAAGGTGTCACGCCCAACATTTTTTACCCTAACCGTTCAGTTTAAAAAGGTTGTTCTTGCCCGCAACACCTAAAATGGAAACTACAGCTCAGTTATTCGGGCTTCTCTTACGACTATTCGGGCTTCTCTTACGGCTTATTCGGGCTTCTCTTACGGCTTCTCTTACGACTAGTTACCCTTTCTTGAGCGAGCTGCGCCATCTTACATATAAGATCGACGCCGTTTATATAGGAATTTGGACGACCAGATGGGTGGCTTAAAAGTGCCATTGTGCATATCGATGATGAACAGTACGTCAGGATTCTCGAGGCAAGTCACTGAACGTTAAAAAAAAGCATATATACAGTTAAAGTGGCATTTTGTGGTCGTATTTTTTGGACGGGGAAATAGTTCCAGTAAGCATTGCAAGATAGGGGTAACGATGAAGAAGCCGTGCATCACGTGACGAAGTATGGGTAAAATCGCCGTAAAGTACGGCGATATTATGATCACGGTATTATAATCATCAGAACATTGAGTGCAGGCTCAATGTGCTGTACAGTGAAAGGCACAACGCAATATGAAGATGAAACGCACGCGTAAGCACGTACCAGGCTGGGTTGTGAATGTGTCGCTGTACGGCAAATTGTGAAAGCTGCCAACAAGTCCCTCTTTATGCTATTTTAATACACGGCGGCTCTGTCGAAACAAAGATGACAATTTCGCAATGCGCACGGCATGCACCTTCTTACACTGTATTTTCTACCTACTGCTTAATCAGCTTTGATGACCCATTAAATATATACCGAAAAGGGGCACTTGTATTTACTTCAGCGAACTGCTAACTCGATGAAATTACTGCGACTATCACGCAACACAATGTTAAATTCGCCAGAAACTTCATTTATCAAAAATGCCCCTGAAAGTTTGGCTTTTTTGCAATGCTGGCTGTTTGTGCGGAGAAGCACGCTTGCGGGTGAACACGGAGATCGTGATTTATCCTTTCTGCGTGCGCACACTTGACTGTGGGCGAGGTGGCCCACAAGAACGAGAGTTGGCAACTTTGCATCTTATTGGTAACTTGATTTAAATAAATTGAAAGTGTTGCGTTTGTTTCAGGTCCAATTCAGCAGTTTATTTTTGTCGTTACTATTACTGATGTAGCGCGACACCTACAGATGACCAGGAAACACAAAATGAGATTTGGTCAGAAAAAAAAAAGAGAGAGATAGAGAACTTTTTAAGTAATATCTGTTCTTTTGTCTTGTTTAGGCACTTTCCGTGTTCTTTGTATGATTACGCTGAGGCGTGAAAATAAAAAAAAGTTTCCTTCTATGTTTTACCGTTCAAGCGCGCAAACGCCACCTAACGTGAGACGACAAAAGCGTCCGCGCTTGAACTTCAACTTAGCAACATGGCGCATCACGGGTTTTTTCTCGTCTAGCCACAACTACTCTCTTCATTCTTTCGTGCTCGTCCTTAGTTTTCTCACTCGCACAGTTGGAAACGGATTGTGCAAGACATGTGTCACGTGTGGAGAAGAGCAGACTGAACCCTGAACAACAAAATACCGCAAGCGCTGCCTTCAAAGTCCTTGCCACAGAAAATAGTATAAAACAGAAAGTGAACGGCCAAGAGCACAGTCGATTTGTCTGACGGCCGGCAACTCTGGACGCCAATTCATTTGCAACCCCCCCCCCCCCCCCCCCCCTTTCCTTTACCGAGCTCCTCGTAGTGAAAGTACAAAGGAATAAAATATGAAAAAGAACTGCCGTTCAAAAGCCAGCCCCAACTGCACACTCCAAACGACAACAGGGGGTGCTCCCTCTTTGCAGTCCTTCTCTCAGCATCCCCATCCGTCAATCAAAGAGAGAGAGAAAAAATGTCTTCCTCCCTAAATCAACACCCTCTCTCTTTCAACTCTACTTCCGTCCAATCGAAGCGCCGGACCTGAGACGCGGCTGCGATTGGTCGACGGTGCCAAAGCGTGCCAGAAGCTGAGACTCCTCCCTTCGCGCTTCCCACGAAGGCGTCTCTCGAAACTTCGTCTCCGCCTCTATTCGTGACGTAGGTGGAAAGAAGGCTGGCCTCGCGCGGCGTGGCGCGTGACCCAGCCAGTGCGGTTCGGAGCGCTCGGTATCGCGGGTTGTGGCAGTGCGCGGGCGACGTGTTTTGCTTTTTCCGGTGTGTTCCTGGCTGAGCAACAAACAGTGCTTCACATTTTTCCTCGTGTCCCGCTCGCGTCCCACTCGTCCGACCGCAGTTGTCGACTAAGTTTGTGCGCGAGTCGTTGCATCGCTGTCGAGACAAAGGTTTCGCTTCTGTTTTCTCCTTGTGGGGTACGACTACTCCACCGCCCAGCCAGACCAGTCAATCGCTACACAAGCGCACAGCCCGTCTTGCCTCCTGGTGTAGTCGGTGCGTGCTTCCAAGTACGGGAGTGTTGTTGTAGCCGCGGCTACTGGTCGGCGGCTACGGTGTGCGCGTCGGAGGTGCGTGAACGGTGCGAGCACGGCGTGCTCCGTGGTGGGCGGCGGGAGCGCACGCTCGACGTCGCTCGCCGCCGGTCGCTCCTGCCTGCCGGCATGGCTGGCGCCGCACCACGGCTACTATGAGGATAACCTCAGCTGCGCCCTCAAGTCTCAGGTGAGCTTTCTCGCGCACAGCTCGATGAGCAGACGAAACTTGTCTCTGTGTCGTCGTTTTGTTCTCGCGCTATAACTGTAGTCATGCCATCATACCAACTAGCCCAAGCTGCCACACTTCCTAGTTTATGACGCGTCTTGACAAGTGTATAGCTTCGCGCTGTGTCACATGTTGTTTAAGGTCGGGGTGAACATTTTTTTTTTTTGCGTTATTCTTGTTTCGCAATATCTTACGTGACGGCAAAAGAAGAGTGAGCCTCCATTTTTTGGGCTTTGAGCCCTGAACGCGTGAAGCATTTCAATGCGGCATTCGGTGTCGTAGCTTTTGATTGTTGCTCATAGAATCGCATCAATTCTTTCATTTTGTGGCAGAAGATATTGGATAAAAAGAAAGATGGGAAGACTAAGTCAGTCTCGACAAGGTTAAGCGCAGTGACTTCATGAAAGCCAGTGCGTCTTGCTAATGGCATTGAAAGTTATCACATAATCAGGAGGCAGGACTTGCAAGTATTGTCACGTCTCACGTGCAGTGCACTGTCATAGTAAACTTCGAAATTGTCTGAGGTACTTCATGCAGTCCCTGACAAAACCTTCAAAGGAAGACATACCAGATGGACATTGGTGGACGCAATGTTACCAAACAACGCTCCCATGCGGTTGGGACTTATCTCGGATCTATGGCCCCCGGGAGCAGCGATATACGATTGTAATGCGATAACGGTTCCACACTTGATATTGAAACTTTCAGAAAGCTTTGGTTCTAGTACAATGCCCCCGTACGACTGATAAATGTACCGTTCGTTGACGTTTGTGTAGCAGCACTGCCGTCTTGAGACGAGAATTTCGTAACGGTAACCGCTTCAATGCCAATGCATTTTCGTGCTCTTTGTGCCTGGCCGGTGGTCAAAACAATGGTTCGTCCATATTATCGATGGCCGTGAGTAGTGTAAGATATCATCGAATGGACCGTAATGCTCCGCTGCAAAATAGCAGCCTTGATTATCACCAAACTTCTCCTGTATACTGCGCTGTCAGTGTCCTTTTGTATTATCTGTATATAGGTTCTGAAAAGCGCGCTGCATATATATATATATTATATATATATCTAGATATATATATTATATATATAATATATATATATTATATAATAATGAAGATATAACAGACAGTAATGCCAAGGAATGTACAGGGGAAGTTAATTAACATTAATGGAAGTAAATAAGAAGAAAGAAAAGTGGATGAAAAAATTACCAACTGTAAGCAGGAATCGAACCTACGACCTTCGAATTACGCGTTCGATTTGTCTGTTGCTACCTCGTTCGCCCGCTTGTCTTTTTCTCTCTCTCTTTTTTTTTTTTTTTTTTTTTGGAGGGTCTTTAAACTGTGAGGGTGACCCTCTGCTACGGGAACTTGTATCATTTCACTACATCCTCCGAAGAAGGCTGGGTCCACCAGCCGAAACTGTTAGGATTAAATAAATATTTTATGTTTTGTTCCTATACTGCACTATTCTCGAAGTTTATAACTTTTATTACGGTAGCCGGAAGAAACTCTGATCATCTATTTCATCTATATATATATATATTATATATATATATATGTCTGTGTGTGTGTTGAAAAATGACCCTTGGAATTCTACGTTGCCATATGTAAATCCGTGGAGATGTCGCACCTTGTGGATAACTGTCTGGTATATATAAGTGCGCATCATATGTACTGTTTGTGTGTCTATATATTGATGTCGCTGCTTATACTGTAATTACCGCTCTGCGGCACAGCGGAGCCGATGAGCCAGTGGACCTTACCCTGTTGGCACTCACCTAAAAGACGACAATGATCGTGTATACAACATGCACATTATTTGTGAACAATCGGACGAAAAAAAAAACAAGTTCCTGGCAAGGAAAAGCACTTTGCCGTGTTATAGGAGCCTCGTTTTTTTGCAGACCTGCGGCAGACGGTATACGGCTGATGAGACGTTTCTTGAAGTTATTCGTTCGTGAGAAATGCTGCGCGTAGTCGAAAGGACATTTACGCCAATTCTTGCCTGCTATCTTAAATATTTTCATATTTAATCGGCACTACGTTGATAATTGCAGAATGTTAACAAAAACATGAGAAGTGGTTACAGTGTAAAAAAAAATTATAGTCCAGGTTCGCTATTTAACTGTCTTGATGCCACCTGTATTGCGCGCCAAATTTGGCCTCGTAATGTTCAGTAACGAAGAAGTCTGTTGATGGATTGACGTCTAAATATCTCCAGTAATCTCTGATATTGTGATTTACTGAAATTCTGCGTGGTTTAATAAAAGTAATGGCAAGGTCACCGCACAGCTCACATTTAAACATATTTGTTCAAAAGCATTTCGTGGCTTTCAGTTACGCGATGATAGAACGTCAGTACAACGTTCATAACGCGATGTTGAATATAGATGCATATATCGAATCACGGTAAAATAGCAACGAGCTTGTTGCCTCGTAAACATTAGCAAAAATATACCCATGTTATATGTAGGATGTAGGAACAATTAGCGCCGCGTATTATTCAATGGTGCTTGGCTGTGATCGCTCAGCAGTTTCCTTGCAAATGGCCATGGCTCCGCTGAATGTGGTGCATGCATTCTTCATCGACCACAAGCAGTGATATTCAGACCGAAAAAGTGACCAGTGCCGCTGAAGTTCAATCATCAATGAGAATCAGTATAGTAAAGCGTAGCGAAATTGCAATGCGAAGGCATCATCTACGCTCACCAAACAGCAAAAATAGACCAAGAAAGCAACTGCAGATCTGTGAAGGTGCTATATGTATCCCTAGACATTTATATGGGGCGTTTTAATACTCTGTCACGTGGGGCTCATGTCTGATTATAATAGTATTTGGGGCTTAACGTCCCCAAAACCACAACATGATTATGAGAGATGCCGTATAGTGGAGGGCTCCGGAAATTTCGACGACCTGGGGGATCTTTGACGTGCACACAAATCTAAACAGGCCTCCAGCGAAAATGCAGCTCCTGCAGCCGGGAGGCAACCCCGCGACATTAGGGTTAATTAGCAGTAGAGGGCCATAACCACCGTTGCGGGGCGTCTACCTGAATAATAGTTACACGTATACGACATATTAAAATAGTGATTTTCATTGTCAATCTTTCGTTGTTACCGGAACCATGCAAGCCAGCCAATCTTTCACGAATGCTCGCGCGTTGTTGAGAAACCAGTTGTCAAAGAGCGCGTGACGTCACGTCGGGAGCGGGATATAAGTACGAATGACTCTGCCAGTTCTCGGAGCCAGAAATTTATAATAATAACACGCTGTCATTATACGAAGCGTATGGTGCCTCAATTGACTTGATCTGTTGCGCAAGTTATCGCACCTTATCGTGTGTGGGAGCACGTAGGGTATACGTGACGTGTGAGAGAACGCGGAATATGATGTGGCTCAATGATAAGAAATCGATGAGCGGCGCTGATAAGAACGAAGGAGTCGCTATAGAGCTTAATGGGCGTAGCCCACGTCAACCGAGATGCATATAGTAACAAGCAAGTCCAATTTTATCTCTTGTAAACATGTGCGTTAAACTGAATTGACCCAGAATTATATATATATATATATAAGGGAAAGAAGTGTATACCTAAGGGCTCGTTTTTCCGTGTTTTTAACACAATAATAATGAGATATAACAGACAGTAATGCCAAGGAATGTACAGGGGAAGTTATTAACATTAATGGAAGTAAATAAGAAGAAAGAAAAGGGGATGAAAAAATTACCAACTGTAAGCAGGAATCGACCTACGACCTTCGAATTACGCGTTCGACCTTCGAATTACGCGTTCGAAGTTTATATATATATATATATATATATATATATATATATATATATATATATATATATATATAGTCACGTGCTTGATCCACTGGAATAGTGTTGCAGTCAAGAGACAGGATGCAGTGTTTATAAAGGTGACATTATAACCAATGGCAAAAGAGCAATTACGAACAGAAAGTTTCGCGAAAGTAAGGTTTTTGCTTCGCATCACAAAACGGTCTTTCGCTTTAGAATTGTTTTTAAGAAAAAAAGAAATCCACTAATCATGACGCTGGACAGGTTAACACAGGTGAGTTGATAAATGAGAAAACGCCCTTCGTTCAGAACAACCGCATTGGGAATTCTCTCCCTGGTGACAAGTTTCAAAGCACTGGTGCAGTATTTGAATTTAATTGGATTGAATTTTATTGACATGAAATGGTTTGCATGCACAATACAATAGTGTAAAGAAATGCATATGAATGCCTATAGCCTATCCTATAGCCTACAATATGCATGACCCGAACTCTACGTTTTCGCATTGAATTCTAAATGCCCACCCTACATACATTACTAGTTTATCTACAAGGGAACAAACAAACCCCAGAAAAAGTGGCGTTCACCTTGCCGTGTTTTCGTAAACGTGATGAAAAAAGGTTCCAAGGCAGGATCGGTTTTGTTAGACCGTACAGCCTTCTAAACACAAACGCACAGAGTGTTGGAGTCATTGTACCTTCTCATCTACGTATAGGTCCTGAGTAATGAACCAGCTATAGCCATGTAACTTTAAACTAGGTGTAGTTTCCTTGTTGTAGCAGGTACTTTCTGAACCACTTCAATTGATTCAGAGTGAGTTTCAAAAATGAATGCTAACAGAAACACGCATGATCCTTCTGAATAATAATAATAATAATAATAATAATAATAATAATAATAATAATAATAATAATAATAATAATAATAATAATAATAATAATAATAACAATAATAATAATAATAATACCTCTTATTTCTTCAAATAAAGCTGTAAATTTGGCTAGGCCTGCCAATGCCAATCCAAGGCCAATCGGAAGCTTGAGTGGCAGAGCCTGGCAAGCAGAAAACAAAACCGAATGCGTTACATGATTGTAGGTAATCGCACATTAGAGAGGATAAGACAAAATAGCATGCACATTAGATTAGAATCACAGGGCAT